AACTTCAGTGGGTTAAGTAATTTGGCGTTGAGTGATCGATTTAGTGATCTAAATAATTATCATTAGTGAGCTTAATTAGAAAGTCAAATTGCCATGTCTTATTTTATTAATGTCATGTCATAATAAAAAAAGAGAGAATGATTCTAGAGAAGACACCTAAACTAATCATTTCTCTATTAATATATAAGGGATAAATTATTTATGTAGTTTTGTTTTAAATTTTAGTCTTTAAAAATGTAAAATATGTAGTTGTTTTGATTTTTATTATAGACATTGTTTTTGATTCTTTTGTTGTTAATTTGTTTGGTCAATACTATTGTTTTTATTAATAATAAGAATTTCAGAAATTTAGTTTTACCATTAAATTATTTTATATATGTAAACGTGTCAAATTAAAATGTATAATAATTTAATACATTAGAGTTAAAAATAACCATGTTAAATTTGGCTTGTCCGAATATCTTAAGTAGAATTTATAATACAAATATATTATTTAATATTTTAAAACATTAAAATATATAATTAAAATTTTTATAAATGAAACACATATTAAAAAAAATTGTTCCTTTCGAATTAAAAAATATTTTTATTACTTTCAAATTGTCTTGCGTTAAAAAAACATTTTAAAAGAATAATTATATTTGTTGTTATAAACTTGGGAATTTTTTTTCACAAACATATTAAAATCTGTTTTGAAAAATTTGGTAATTCTTTATTATTATTTTCAAAAAGAATATATATTCTATAGAAATGTTCTATAATTTTATTATTACAATTATTATAACTTCAGTGGACTAAGTATTTTGGCGTTGAGTGGTCGATTTAGTGTGCTAAGTAATTATTATTAGTGGGCTTAATTAGATAGTCAAATTGCTATGTCATATTTTATCAATAGCATGTCATAATAAAAATAGGAAAATGATTCTAGAGAGGACATCTAATCTAGTCACTTCTCTATTAATATATAAGAGATATATATATGGAGTCACATTTTCCTTTGTTTGATTTTAAGATAAATTAATTTTCATTTATTTACAATAATATAACCTGTTTCCCATCTTAAATATATACTATAACAGTTTTGATATGATACAACGGCCACAAATAAGACATATACACTAGAAATAAAGTTAGGGGATAACAAAATATCTTTGAATATGAAGTTGTAAAATGGAATGTCAAATGATCTTGCCAAATAAAAAAAATGCAAGAAGCAAAAACAAATGGGATCAAAAACAAGAAAATAAATCGAAAAGTGTCACAACTGAATCCCAAAATCTAGCAATCGCACTTCGCCTAAAAAGTAAAAACCTTCTTATCTCTTGAAAGACATTGAAGAGTAACAAACCGAAGAAGACGAGATAGTCATAATGGATAGACATTCTTAATGGAAAGAGATTCTTCCTATTGCGGGTGAAGACTACCTCACAACCTATGGCTCTTAGGATTCTATTTTGGGAAGACAAATCGAAGATAAAACGTGTGTAAACCTTCACACTTGTTCCGTAAATAGCAAAGTCAACAGAACCACAACTTTTTAATATCTTGGTAGAAGCCTTTGAACTGATCAAATATTTTGAATAGAGACAAAGAGTAAATCCCATTCAAACCGGGTCACACGAAACTCGAACAAAAAAGGTAAGAGATCAAGTCAGAGAGAAACTAAAGCCACCTTCACGTAGAGAGAATG